AAGCTAGAAACTTCAGGTACAAATAGAAATGGCATGTCAGCCTGCAAACAGGGTGCTTGGTTGATTATCTATATATGGAAATTCTGAACCTACTCTCATCAAAATTCTTAATCAGTCACGTATTTTTATGGGAAGGAAAACTGAAACCCTATGTGTTACTTATCCACCGCTGCATAACAAATTACCACCGAAACTACTCATTTGTAGCAACAAGTGTTTACAATCTTACAGTTTACATGGGTTAGAGATTTGAGAAGAGCTTAGCTGGTGATTTTGTCTCAGGGTCATTCACAAGGCTGAGATGTCTTCCAGGGTGACAATCATCTGAAGGCTAGACCAGGGCTGGAAGATTGACGTCCAAGATGGCGGGCCCAGAAGGCTATTGGCTGAAAGCCTCAGTCCTTGCCGCTCCTCCTAGGGCTGCTAGACTGACTTCAGGCACGGCAGCTGGCTTTCTCCAAGAGTGAAGGAGAAAAGAAACTGGCATGCCTTTTATTACTGAGTCTTGAGAATCACACCCCAGAAATTTGCCATGATCCATCCACTAGAATTATCTCTAGGTCCAGCCCTATTTCAAGGAGGTTGAAATGAAGTGGCACTTCTTGGATATGAGCATGCCCAAAGCTTGTAGAAATAACTGAAAATGAATACCCCCCATAAAAGTAGATCTCCATAGTCTAGCACTTAGGAATCTTCTAACTCTAAGATCTACTCTTTAACTGACATGTTTAAAGCAAATCCCACAACTTAGGATCCCTCCACATACACATAGGCTACTCAACCTCTCCATAAAATGAATCTCAGTAATCAACAAGCATGCTAGGCGATTTTATCTTGTGTATGTTCTGGGACCAAACATGCATGCTATCAAATAATGACTGCTGAGGAAAAAAAAAAAAAAACTCAATCTTCCTCGGGGTTGAGTTCCTTAACTGGTTATTCAATACCAAGTAATCGGCCCTAAAAATATATACATATGAGCAACACTACATGGTCCCAGGAGGTGGTATTTATATGCTTGTGTGTGTATGTATGTGTGTGTGTGTATATATGCATATATATGTAATGGTAACTATTAAGGAAACAAAGGCCATGAATTTGAGAGGATGAAGCATGGGAGGAGTTAGAGGAAGGAGAAGGAGAGGGAGGATAATGTAAACACAGTACTCATATATGGAATTCTCAACAAAAAATAATTTAAAAAAAGAAACACGTATGCTAAGACAAATGCATGCTTTATTGCTGACTATACCCCAGACAAAAATTAGATCTTCAGAGCATAAATGCTCAACAATAACGTAGAAAGAACTAACCCTAAAAACTGACTCAGGAAACAGAATATAATTTTTAAGTAAAAATCTCTAGTATCTTCAAGGGGAATCCAAATTATTTTTAAATATGTGAAAGAATTTTTGAAAATGTCAAATTGAATAGCCAAGAAACCATAACATAGAGGAAGAGACAAGACAGGTGAGAGGAAATAATGAGAGGGTTCTGAATAAATCTAGGGGGATTGACAGGTATTAGATACCTAATATACTCCCAGAAATGGAGGAAGAAAACACACTTGTATTTACCAAAGCTAGGAACATGAGCATCAAGACTGGGAAATGCACCAGGTGTTCAAGTATGACTGATAAAAGAAAAACACTCTATCAACACCTTGTGGCTTTTTAAAAGCAAAAGTTAGTAAACAGTTCAGGTGCCCTATTTGGCTCACCACTTGTTTTTTATAAATAAAGCTTTATTGGAACAGATATGCATCCCCTTGTTTACAGGTAATTTATAGTTTCTTTCTATTGTAGCAGAGGAGGGGAACAGTGACAACAGAATCTACATGGGCACAAAAAATGCTGACCTTTGTACTAAAGAGAAACTTCCAGAAGAGATGAAAGTTCTCTCTCAAAAGAACAAAATCAGCCTGACATTAGTCACTTCTTTATTCATCATCGAGCACCAGGGGTGATGGGTAACTGTCCCTGTAACTAATGGGCCCACAAGGGACCTTGACTCTGAACATGTCTGCTGCTGTAGGGACCAAGACCCTTGAACTATGGCCTGAAGACTAGGTTTACTTCCCAGGAGACTACCTGTCAGAGTCTAGAATGCTCTTCTAAAGGAATGTGTTGTGGTCCAAACACCAGAGGTGAGACTTCATGTCTAGTCCACTAAATGGGCTGACCTGGCCAATTTGTCCTTTTGGTTCTGAGCCTGAGCCTTTAACAGCTAAACTGTCTCCATAGCCTGCCTTGGCCCATTTGGGTGTCTAAGCTTGCCAACTGCTCTGCACTTCAGATGTGAAATGTCCCCAAAAGCTTTTGTCCCAACCTGTGTACTATTGGAAGGTAATGGAACCTTTAAGAGGTGGGGCCTAGGAGCAGGAGTCTGCAGTCAGGCCCTTGGGGACATGCTCTTGGAAGCCCAGCACTTTCTCATCTCTCTTTGCAGAGGTGAGAAACTTCTCTGCTGTGGGCTCCTGCTATGATGTTTCTGAACAGGGCCAAAGCAACCATAAACTAAAACTTCTGAAACTCTGAACCAGAGTAAATGGTTTTTAAGATAATGCTGTCTGGTATTTTGTCACAAAGATGAAAAGCCGACTAACAGTTACAGCAGACATAAGGAAGCTCAGGACAGGGGCTTCTGCTTCCCCAACATTGACCCCGCCCACAGCAGCTTGTTTGTGGTGTTGAGAGAAACAGACATGCATGGGAACTCCTGGGAGCTGCCCAGAACAGGTTCTGTGAGAGCAGCCCTGGGAAGGAAGTGCACACTGTTCTCCAGAGCACCCAGGACCCCTGTCTTCCGAGACTCCTCACCCCTCATTCCTACTGTAATAATTTAGTGACAGAAGGCGACCTTGACAGGTTGGAGCCAAGGGGCACCACACAATCACACCAGGCAACAGAGCTCACGTGGGAGGTTTATTGGGGGGAGGTGCCTCTGATTGAGGGTGGCAGGAAAGAGAGAGAGAGGTGAGAAGGCCTTGCCTTTTATACTGGGACATAACGCATGCGCATAGAGAGAGAGTGGCGCTGCTACTTAGTAGCTGCAGTAGCTACAGTGTCACATCTTAGCTACTGCAGATGACATGCCTTACTAGATCCCCGAGAGCAGGACAATGTAAATGCCTGAATGCTAACACCTGCCATCAGCCTCCTCCTCTAAAAGGCCCTCCGTCCTTCCTCTCATTGTGCCTGACAATGTAATTCCTTCTAGCTCACTGAGTTCTCCGCCATATCTCAGACCTATCTTTTCCAAACCAAAGACTCCATCAATATTTTAAGTAAACATCTAGATGTTTACCTAGATGTTCCACAAATAAAGGTGGCTTCATGACAATTATTTCCACGACATATTTTTATGCTTTACCTGATTTCTATTTTTCAGGTTGTGGAACAAAAGCCAAAGAATAAATCCCTGACTGAAGATTTACAACCCTGGGATCACAGCTTGGATTCAACCCAGGAATGGCTCCACAGCTGGACTCTGAGAGTTCGCTCCTCTCCACCTGAGGAGAAGGGGGCCATCACTGAACCTGCCCTTGCCAAGGGCCTTTCAAGGTCAAAGACTCCCTGGACCTGCGCATCTTGATTCAAGAGTCTTAGTCTCTTGGAGGAAGAATCTGATTCGTCCAGCTTGTGTGGGTTGTCCTCACCTTGGACCAATCAGCTGTGTCCAGAGGGTGCTGAGGTACTCAGGAAGCATTGTGAATCCTGGGTCTGTTACCATGTGGACCGAACAGTCTTGGGAGTGGGGGGTGGGGGAGGTTGCTACTGTTGAGTACCATGTTCTTGGGCAGAACTGGTTGCTTTCAGATCTGTGTACAGCAGCATCCAGATCTGAGCAGAATGGCCACAATATTTCACCTGATGTCCTCTGCCCTCCTCCACCTTGAGCAAACCACCCCCAGCCAAGCCTGGAACTAGGAATGCATCTCCCCTTGTCCTGCATTCCAGCATAGGGTGATTACTTGCAAATGGCAGTCATGTTTGGTCACTGTGGACAGCTCTCCTACCCAGCAGCATCTTTTAACACACAGGGACATTCTTCAGAACGTTCTGCTCAAATGAGTGTGAGACAAAACAACTTGTCAGCCTGTCTCTTTCTTGCAGAAATGAGGCGGTGATGTCAAAATCCAGTCCTTTACTCATTTAGAAACGATCTGATAACGGAAAGCTGGCTTAATTTCCGGAGAAAGTGAGAAGCTTCTTCACTAGTGGAGCTGCCAATATATCTCTCTCTCTCTCTCTCTCTCTCTCTCTCTCTCTCTCTCTCTCTCTCTCTCTCTGTGTGTGTGTGTGTGTGTGTGTGTGTGAGAGAGAGAGAGAGAGAGAGAGAGAGAGAGAGAGAGAGAGAGAGAGGTGCGCGCACACACTTAACTAAACTGTAGAGTGAAGGCTGTTCAAAAGTGAGTTTACAAGGTTAATTACTGGCACATCTACACAGCCCCAACAGTCCCACTGTGTGGGTCAGACAGTATCATTGGGCACAACTGATGAGAAACCCACGGCCAATTTCTCTGAGTCCCTCCTTTGTAACAAAGGCGGGTGTGACTTCCGTCTTCTTAGGCTAGTTTTTGAGGTACATAAGAGAAATCAGTGGTGTCTGATATTGTGTGGACTCCAGGCTCAATGTGACTTAGCATGCAACAACACACACACACACACACACACACACACACACACACACACACACACCACAGCAAGTGTTATGCAGAGAGCCCAGGCTTCAGGATCCACAGAACCCATTGTGAGCCTCCAGCCTCACACACTGTCTCCCTTAAAGACAGTCACCTATCATCCTTCTGCAGACTCTGCAGGTACAGGCTCTTCTTGGGATCAGGAACATTAATACAGTTATAGCTCTGATCCCTCCCCACGCCGCTTCATGGGAAAGATAAGTGCGTATATATTTAGAGACTGCCTGTGCTCGCCTGAGTGGCATGTGATGCAGAAGGATTGGTCTGCGATTCATCTTCAGATGTTGAATATCTCAAAGCGTCAGGAACCTACCAGAACAGAAGGGCACCAGACAGGAATGCAAAGCAAAACAGCACGGTCTCTTAGGTGCCCCCCCCTCTCATCTAGGTCCTGGGGGCTTGGCGAGGATTGAGGGTTGCTATGGGGATGGGCCAGGGTGGAATCAGGTGGGGACAGAGCAGACACGCAACCAAGGGAAGAAAGAAAAGGGAGAATTTGTTTCTTGAGTTAGACTTGAAATAAGGATGCTTTTGCTAAAGGGCACACGCGCGCACACACACACACACACACACACACACACACACACACACACACACACACAAGCGTGCATGAAGGCACCTCACTCCCTTACCTCTGCCCACTCCCCAATCTTCCAAGCATGTTGATGTTGGGCTTGGCTCTCCACCTCCTACACCTTCCTGCCCTAGATTTGGTCAGGGGTCTACAGCTCAGAGGGCTTAGGCAGGAGGCACCAAGAGGATTCTGGGGAGAGTCCAAAGGAGAAAGTCTTGGCCTCTTCTCAGAGAATCCAGAGGTCTGTGTGGAAGAGGCACTTGTGTTGGACCCAGGAGACAAGCTATCACTCAGAAGAAGAAAAGGAAGACCAGCCTGAGAGATAGCAGCCTGAGCAGGTACAGGACATGGAGGGCGGGACCTGTGTGGAGATTGCTGCGTCCTTTGCCCCCACTGAGCACTGCTGGGGCTAGAGAGGTACAAGGGGCCTCGAGTGCCAAAGAGGAGAGCCTGGACCTTGTCCTACAGGACATCTTGAAAGGGGATGATAAAGGCTTGTTTTGGGGGGAAGCTCAGATGGGTAGGAAGAGGGAGCGGATGGGCAGGGAGTCCCACGTAGAGACTGAGGCAGCCACAGAGCAACAGTGTCCTGATGTGCAGAGGTGACTGGGAGGGGTGGACAGAAACAGAATCTGAGATAGCAAAGAGTTAGAGGGTAAGCACTGCAGAGTTTGGGAGAGCCTGAAAAGGAAGTGGAAAAGAATAAGGGACCCAGGCCGATGATGCACTTACAGAGTGGAAGGGAGTGTGTGAGCGCATGCGCATGCTTCACGCTCCAGCCAATAATAGGCTTCTTAGATCCATTTGCCATGCTTCCCTCCCCCTGCCCTCTGTGACTTAAACCATAAGGGGCGACCCCGTTAAGTTGAGTCGCATTTTTGTTTTGCTTTGTTTTGCGTGGCACTCTACATTATAGAAATTTCCTCCTAAAAGACCCTCAGAGGCAGGCAGTGAAGGCTCGGGGGTAGGGGTCATACAGCCAGGAGGCTAGAGGGCAGAGCCCTAACCTCTGACCCCAGGCTGCATCCTCCTGCCACTTAGGGGCTGGAAGAAACGGATGAGTGGTCCAGCCATCTCGCTAGCTTCTTTGCGGTGGATTACACTGTAGTGAGGAAATCCTTTTTAATCGTTCTTTTTGCTGTCACAATCATATTTCCTTCCTCCAGAAGGGAGCAGAGCCAGGAAGATTACTTTGACATATTTCTCAAAGACGCTGTTTCTAGAGCACTTGCCTGATAAAAATGATATATTTATTTGGGACCGCCAAGAGCTTGCTGAAATGAGGAATTTATCTGCATAGCTTTTGTTATTAAAGTGATTCTTCTTGTGTATTTCCTTCTAAGCTACTGATTCCATCTATAATACATGAGTTTCAGGTAATAGAAATTTTTCATGCAAGTAAATATTTTAATAACAACATTATGGTCTTGATTCCAAGACTACAGGCAAAAGCCTGGCACTGTGAACAGGCACACGCTGGAGGCTGGGGACCTGGATTGTTGTTCCTGCTCTACACCTGTGACCTTAGACAATACCAGGCCCTCTCTAAACATCAGTCATGTTAGCCATCAGCGTAGGGGTTGCCACTCACAGGAGCTACCGCTAAGCTCAGATGAGAGGCCAGTTTCAACGGAGCCTTGGCCTCGGGCTTTGGGACCCATGTGCAGAGCCAACATGTGTCATTAGCTAGGCAACAGACTGACTATCACCAACAGCCATCTCACCAATTGGTAAAAGTACCTGTCATCAAGCTTGATGACCTGAGTTTTAATCCCCAGGACCAATATGATAGGAGAAAACTGATTCCTCCAAAATGTTGTCACACATGCAACTGTGACACACACACACACACACACACACACACACACACACACACACACACACACAATTTAAAGACAACATGTGATGACTTGCTGCTCTCACAAAGACATGTAGGAATCTAAACAGAGTGAATCATCCCACACAGTCAACCAGGGACCTGGCAGACCCATATCCACACAGGACTTCCACATCCACACCCTCCATTTCTGTTGTTTCACAACAATACAGCAGGAAAAGTCAAATGGCTTTTGTCTTTAAAAGTTGATGACCTAAGAATTGCACGTGGCCCTTCCGTTCATATCCCAGAGTCAAAGTCAGATACCTGGCCGCTTGACTTCCTTGAGCACAGAGGAGCCTGGAGACGCAGCTCCTAGCACGGTGGTCATGCTGCTGGCTGGCTCTCAGTGTCTCATACTATACTAGCACTTGGAAGGGAGAATGGACACTGCACACAGTGTATGCATGGGAACGACCACTTAGAATAGTGGCCGCAAACACGGAAGGGCAGAGAACTCGTGCACCTGCTCCATGGACACATAGGCATATATGTATTCACATGCAGTCAGGCAGAGATGGGCCCCGCTGAGCAAAATGGTGGGAGGAAACTCAGCATGTATCTGGAATAGGCACTGCTCCAAGGGACAGATGACAGCAGTGGGGTCTAAGCCAGAGCAGCAAAGGTGGAGAGAAGTTGATGAGATCAAAATCTGCTTTCCAGGCTGGAGAGATGGCTCAGTGGTTAAGAGCACTGGCTGCTCTCCCAGGGGTCCTGAGTTCAATTCCCAGCAACTATATGGTGGCTCACAACCATCCATAATGAGATCTGATGCCCTCTTCTGGCCTACAGGCAAACATACAGGCAGAACATTGTATACAATAATAAATAAAATAATCTTAAAAAATATTTATAAAAAAAAATCTTTAATCCCAGCACTCGGGAGGTAGAGCCAGGCAGATCTCTGTGAGTTTGAGGCCAGCCTGGGCTACAGAGTGAGTTCCAGGAAAGGCGCAAAGCTACACAGAGAAAACCTCTTAAAACAACAACAACAACAACAACAAAAATCTGCTTTCCTCCATAACAGTAGAGGAAGAAGGGTCATGGTGAGGTCAAGTGGGGGGTGATGGACAGCCTGGACCCAGGACCATTGCAGGCGTCATTCAGAATGCACCACCATCAGACCCAAGGCATGCAATCACTGATGTGATGAGCTGGTAGCCAGCCACTGATCTTTCCCCAGACTGACTCACTCCCCATGCCTTGAGAGTGTCCATCCCTCCTCATCAGAAGGACATGGGCTAATCACGCCCAGTGTTGGCCTGAGCCTGAGGAGGATGGTGTGCCCTGGACAGTAGCTCTCTCTTCCCCACTATATCCTTGTCACCCTGTGACTGTCACTTTCACAACCAGATGTGGAAAACAGCAAAACTGCAGGAATTCCTTTTCCCCCCTCTCTCCACTCTCGCCAGGTCATGCCATGGGGCTTAGAAACCTCAGTGTATATCACTTTTCCTTCCTTATTAAGCTGAAAATTCTTCCCTTAAAGGGAGCACTTTCTGGACTCTATTTGGCATATTCAAATTGCCCAAGTCAGAGACTTTATTGGGTAAAAGTAAGGCTATTTGAACACAAACAGTTGGAGTATCTACCTGATGAAGCTTCGAAGAGCCTAACAGGGAGCAGGGGAAGGTCACATAGACTAGTGTGGCTTGAACTTTTTCCTCCTGTGACTCCCTTTTTTTATGAGACAGGTCTCATCAAATCCGGACTGCCTTGCTGTGTAGTCAAGGAGACCTTGAACTCCTAATCCTGCTGCCTCCACCTCCCAAGAGCCAGCATTACAGACACGTGCTACCAGCCCAGTCTCCACTGTGTTGGGGATGGATCTTAGGACTTTATGCATTCTGGGCAAGCACTCTATCAACCGAGCAAAATTATCAGCCCCATCAGAGATTTTACGCAACCCTGGGTATATAGGTGTTTACTAGTAATAACTCAGGAAGGAAAATATTTTTAAACAGTTCTTTGGAGTATATGTAATTTTATCATTTGTTAAAGTCCAAAGCAAATTTGGGTACTAATGAGATGGATATGGTGGCTTATTTTTACATAACTAAATCTTGGTTAAATCTTTGACACTACAGGACATACAACATTCTTCAACATTTTTCAGAATTGATCAGTACTCTTAATGCTATAATCATCAATGCTGCAGCCTCTGCTTTACACATACAGGGAAAAACAAAGTGGCAGAAGAATGTTCAGGGCCATTTCAGAAGCTCTCCACGGAAATTCTGTCTCAATCTCAAACCAAAATTCATTTAATGTTTTCTTTTTTATTTTAATGAAGTTAAAGCCAGCAACCCATCCAGTGGTTTCTAAAATCAAATATTCTAATGCAGTCCAATTCAAAAAGATACAAATTTCATACATGCTAAGTAAGGAATGATGGAAAAGAGACAACGTCATTTCTTTCCGTAAGTAAGCCCTCGCATTTTGTTTTGTTTTGTTTTGTTTTTGTTTTTGTTTTTCAAGACAGGGTTTCTTTGTGTAGCTTTGGTCCTGTATCTCACTCTGTAGACAAGGCTAGCCTTGAACTCACAGAGATCTGGCTGGCTCTGCCTCCCGAGTGCTGGGATTAAAGGCGTGCGGCACTACTGCCCGGCGCCCTTGCATTTCTATAAAGCAGAAAAATTTGTGTGTACAAAAATCACTGCACTTTGTGGCACACAGTAGCCTCACTCTGAGCTGTTTGTTTGCTGGTGACAACACACTAGATGCAAAGAGTGCATGCCGTGTCTCACGAACAAGGCTACAGTGAAGTTACACGGTACAGCAGGGGCAAGGGCTGCCAGAAACATCACAGAGCCATTACATATTTGGTCTTGAGTTAGTATTTGGTCACTGTGTGTTCAGAAACCTCTTACTGGTTTCTGAAGCTACTGCAAGTTATACATTCACATCTGAAGATTTGGGGAAGATCCATAAATAAGAAAGAATACGCTGCATTTGTCATTCTGGGTCTGGGTTGTCTTAGTCAGTTTCTAGTTCATTCATTTACCTGCAGACTTCAGGAGTTCGTCTTTCTTCACACCTGTGTATGTGTAAATCTTCATTATCAGCTCATCAGTTGGAGGCAATTTAGGTTGTTTCCATTTTCTAATCATTGTGAATAGAGCACCAAGTGAACATGGTTGAGCAAATATCTGTGGAGTATGATGTCTTCGCCTTTGGGCATATACCAAGGAGTGGTACAGCTGGGTCATACGGTATACTTACTTTTTGCTTTTAGAGAATTCTCCATGCTGACTTCCACAGCGGCTGCCAGTCTGCAATCCCAGCAGCAGTGAATGCTCGCACACTTCTCGCCAGCATTTGCTGTCAGTTGTTTTCTTGCTGTTGCCAATTTTTTGCAGCCTCACATTCAGTTACCTAACCCCATATGAGCTTACAACCTACAGTTTAAGAAACTCTGGTGTTCACAATGAGGGGACACTACATTACAGGGTGACTCGTGTC